TGCTGCCATCGTGCACACTTCGTGCAACAGGCGTGTTCGCAAGGTGCAACATGAAATGTTTGCACTGTCCACGTCTTGTGAAAAGACATGCCGCGGGCTGCGCGGCTTGCTGTCCCCATCCCTGGGGTCTACACCCTGGTCAGCGTACCGAATCCCGTGCATTTGGGCATAGCAAGCCGAATCCAGCATCTTACGACTGGACCGGATGTGATGTCGTAGCAACGAGCGGATTCGCTCTGGCAGCGTGCCTGACATGGGTTTGCCCGAGGTTAAGGGTGGTCACCTTGCCTTACAGCCACGGCTGGGACATGGTCGATCAGGACTTGATCAGTGCTCGCCCCAAACGTGTGTGCGTTCACCAAGTGCATGAACAAGTGCGCCCCTCTGGGTCCTACGAGAAACCATCTCTTCCATGTTGCCACAGAATGCATCGACGCTTCGCGGTGTCATCCCTGAAGTATACGGATGCCCTAAACGGTCTTGGCAATGTCCAGGTTAGCTTGTCTCCACAGCATTGTCAGCTCACCAACGCCTGCACATTGCAGAAATGATCGGCCATCTTGCAAAAGCAGCTGAGTAGAGTCTGCTGGCCTGCTATGAATGGTCGCGCTGTGGGCAGTTCCCGTGCAAGGGCTTGCCCAAGGTTAAGATTGGTCACCTTCCGTTACAGCCACAGCTGGGACCTTGTCGATCAGGGCTTGATCAGTGTGCGCTCCAGACTTGTGTGCATTCACCAGGTGCAACATGACAAGTTCGCTTTGTCTAGGTCGTGTGAGAAGCCGTCTCTTCCATGTTGCCACAGAATGCAACGACTGTTCGCGGTGTCATCCCTTAAGTATATGGATGCCCTAGACGTTCTTGGCGGTGTCAAGGTTAGCTTGTCTCCACAGCATTGTCAGCTCACCAACGCCTGCACATTGCAGAAATGATTGGACATCTTCCCTACTGTCGACACACAGGGCTTGCACGGAGCGCTCTCTTCGATGCGATCTAATGAACCAGACGTGATATCTGTGCGGTTCGGACTGCTTCGGCACCGGCCGGGTCGTGGTGAGCCTTTCTTCATGTCGGCAGCCTCAGTTGTAGCTTCTGCTAGCAGCCCTGGCAAAGCATCCGTGGAAGGCTTGCTCACAAGTGTAGCCTCTAGCTCGCGAGCAAAAGCTCGCGAGCAAAAGCAGCTGAGTAGAGTCTGCTGGCCTGCTACGAATGGTCGCGCCGTGGGCGGTTCCCGTGCCACGGCTTGCTCGAGGTTAAGATAGGTCACCTCCCCTTACAGCCACAGCTGGGACCTCGTCGATCAGGGCTTGATCAGTGTGTGTCGTGCACGCAGCATTGCATCTGGGCCAAGGCGTTGTGATTCTGCCCCTGAGGCGTGCTGCAGCTTCCCATGTGGTGCCCAGTGATCGTGAAGAAGTGCCGAGGTGTGTCGTCCTTGGAGTGGAATCCCCGTGCCTGCCGACGACGCGGAGGGGCGAGTGTGCGTCATAGCATGCGCATGGTGCTTCCTGACAGGCACTGAAGGGTGTTAGCCTCTCTCTCAGCCCCCTCTCTTCCTGGCGCGAGATACGAGCCGCCAGTCACATGAGGCGCGCGTTGTACCAGCTGATTGATCTGGAGGAATCGATGATTTTGAGGGGCGGGCTTGAAAAGCCATACGGATGCTGTGACCGGATCGAGGTACCCACAACGCCACCAAGAGTATTGGATGGGGAATGCCGGTGAAGATATGAGCATCAGAGTTCACGGCGTGTTTAGCATTTGCTCGCAACAGCTGTGGCAAGGAAGACTTGCTTTTGCACCCTTGACCATGTTGCGTGAGCTTTCACAATGATTGGTGGGACATCCGCACCTTGCAAGACATGCTCCGCTCTGCAGCTGCACTCATCTGCGCAGTGATGTCGATCAATGTTGCTCGTTGAGACTTGCGACCTTGACCGGTCAATGCTGCCATCGTGCACACTTCGAGCAACAGGCGTGTTCGCAAGGTGCAACATGAAAGTTTGCACTGTCCAAGTCTTGTGAAAAGACATGCCGCGGGCTGCGCGGATTGCTGTCCCCATCCCTGGGGTCTACACCCTGGTCAGCGTACCGAATCCCGTGCATTTGGGCATAGCAAGCCGAATCCAACATCTTACGACTGGACCGGACGTGATGTCGTAGCAACGAGCGGATTCGCTCTGGCAGCGTGCCTGACATGGGTTTGCCCGAGGTTAAGGGTGGTCACCTTGCCTTACAGCCACGGCTGGGACATGGTCGATCAGGACTTGATCAGTGCTCGCCCCAAACGTGTGTGCGTTCACCAAGTGCATGAACAAGTGCGCCCCTCTGGGTCCTACGAGAAACCATCTCTTCCATGTTGCCACAGAATGCATCGACGCTTCGCGGTGTCATCCCTGAAGTATACGGATGCCCTAAACGGTCTTGGCAGTGTCCAGGTTAGCTTGTCTCCACAGCATTGTCAGCTCACCAACGCCTGCACATTGCAGAAATGATCGGCCATCTTGCAAAAGCAGCTGAGTAGAGTCTGCTGGCCTGCTATGAATGGTCGCGCTGTGGGCGGTTCCCGTGCAAGGGCTTGCCCAAGGTTAAGATTGGTCACCTTCCCTTACAGCCACAGCTGGGACCTTGTCGATCAGGGCTTGATCAGTGTGCGCTCCAGACTTGTGTGCGTTCACCAGGTGCAACATGACAAGTTCGCTTTGTCTGGGTCGTGTGAGAAGCCGTCTCTTCCATGTTGACACAGAATGCAACGACTGTTCGCGGTGTCATCCCCTAAGTATATGGATGCCCTAGACGTTCTTGGCAGTGTCAAGGTTAGCTTGTCTCCACAGCATTGTCAGCTCACCAACGCCTGCACATTGCAGAAATGATTGGACATCTTCCCTACTGTCGACACACAGGGCTTGCACGGAACGCTCTCTTCGATGCGATCTAATGAACCAGACGTGATATCTGTGCGGTTCGGACTGCTTCGGCACGGGCCGGGTCGTGGTGAGCCTTCTTCATGTCGGCAGTGTAGCTTGTGGCAAAGCATCCGTGGAAGGCTTGCTCACAAGTGTAGCTTCTAGCTCGCGAGCAACAGCAGCTGAGTAGAGTCTGCTGGCCTGCTACGAATGGTCGCGCCGTGGGCGGTTCCCGTGCCAGGGCTTGCCCAAGGTTAAGATTGGTCACCTCCCCTTACAGCCACAGCTGGGACCTTGTCGATCAGGGCTTGATCAGTGTGTGTCGTGCACGCAGCATTGCATCCTGGCCAAGGCATTGTGATTCTGCCCCTGAGGCGTGCTGCAGCTTCCCATGTGGTGCCCAGTGATCGTGAAGAAGTGCCGAGGTGTGTCGTCCTTGGAGTGGAATCTCCGTGCCTGCCGACGACGCAGAGGGGCGAGTGTGCGTCATAGCATGCGCATGGTGCTTCCTGACAGGCACTGAAGGGTGTTAGCCTCTCTCTCAGCCCCCTCTCTTCCTGGCGCGAGATACGAGCCGCCAGTCACATGAGGCGCGCGTTGTACCAGCTGATTGATCTGGAGGAATCGATGATTTTGAGGGGCGGGCTTGAAAAGCCATACGAATGCTGTGACCGGATCGAGGTACCCACAACGCCACGCTTGTGAAGACATGAGCATCAGAGTCGGCGTGCTTAGCATTTGCTCGCAACAGCTGTGGCAAGGAAGACTGCTTTTGCACCCTTGACCATGTTGCGTGAGCTTTCACAATGACTGGTGGCACATCCGCACCTTGCAAAACATGCCCCGCTCTGCAGCTGCACTCATCTGCGCAGTGATGTCGATCAATGTTGCTCGTTGAGACTTGCGACCTTGACCGGTCGATGCTGCCATCGTGCACACGTCGTGCAACAGGGTGGTCCTAGACTCGCTTGGCAGTGTCTCGGTTAGTGGCCGTTAGCTCACGAGCAGGGTCTGCTGGCCTGCAACCAGAAACGGTTTCGCAGTGGCCACTTCGAGTACATGGCCTTTCTCGTACCGCAGCTGCTTGCCCTTACAGCTGCAGCTGGGATTTGCTGGATCAGGCTTGAGCAGTGTGCGCTTCACTCTTGCTCGCGCCAGGGTCCCAGACTGGCTTGACGGTGCCTCGGCGAGCGTGTGTCCCCGGGTGTGTCCTCGGCAGCGTCCGTGCGCCAAAGACGGACGATGGTGAGCTTGCTTTCCTTCTCTGTAGCATGTGCTGGCAGCCCTCTCAAAGCGTCTGCTAGCCTCCAGCTCAGCAGCAGCAGCAGCTGGGCTGGCTGGGCTTGTTAGAGGTTAACGCACCCAATGCCTCAAATGCCTCGGAGCCGCTGGGATCATCTGCTCGATCAAGCTTGAGCAGCGTGCGCCTCACTTGTGCCGCTTTGGCCCATCAAGCTCCTCTTGGCCTGGCCTCCGCTTAAGGGTCCGTCAAGCTCCTCGTAGCCTTATAATACGTCCTGTTACGGCTTGAGACTCCTGCGGGTGTCGGGGGTTCGCCCTACTGCCTCACTCTCTTCACTCTCTGCCTTCTGATGACGCATCCTGCATCGGGTGTTGGGCGTAGGACTCTCAGCAATGTCGGGCAAGACACGGTGGTTGACTGTTTTGGCAGCGTCCAGGCTAGCGTGTTTTTTGCCTGCACATCGCACAGCTGATCCGACCTGTCTCCTACAGAGGGCTTTCACGGAACGGTCTCTTGGCTTCGATCTGACGAACCGAAACTTGATGTCTCTGCGGGGTGGAGTGCTCGGGCGAGGAGCGGGTCGTGGCGAGCTTCATCTTTAGCGGGCAGCCTCTGTGCAGCATGCGCTGGCAGCCGCTCCGCTGCAGTTCTTTCACAGCTGCAGCCTCTGGCATATTAGCACGCGAGCAGAAAGATGCTGGCCTGGAACGGGCAGTGGCTGCCTTGCATGGGCTTACTCGCGGTTAAGGGTGGTTAGCCTTCCGAACAGCCACGGCGGGGATATGCTCGATCAGGGATTGATGAGTGCTCGTTGCGCACCTGCTTGCGCCTGGGGCAACGTAAAGCCGGTTCACTCTCCAGCTCTTCTGACAAGCCCCGTTCGCATGCCGGAGCATGCTCTGATTGTTCGCGTCATCGGGAGCGCTTTCTTCGCAGCGATCTGGTGAAACGGACACGATGTCGTTGCGGCTCGGAATCTTGAGCTTTTCTTGTGTAGCGCGTCCTACAGCCATCACGAAACATCTCATGAAGGCGTTTCACAGCTGCAGCCTCCAGCCCACGAGCGGAAGCAGCTTAAGGGCGGTTACCTTGCTTGAGAGCCACAGCTGGGATCTGCTCGATCAGGGCGTGAGTAGTGCGTGCTGCAAAGCACGTGCCTGTGATCGCCAGGTCCACCATGAACAAGTCCGCTGTCCAACTCTTGTGAGAAGACCCGTCGTGCACGCCGCAGAGTGCCTTGATCGCTTGCGGCGTCATCCCTTAGGAACCAGGATGCCATAGACTGGTGTGGCAGTGTGCGGGCCAGCGTGTGTCCTCAGCGTCAGCGCGCCGAGTCCGGCGCATTGCTCAGATGATTCGGCATCTGCCCGATTCGGGCCACCGAAGCGCTCTCTTCGATGCGATCTGAAGTAGGGTGTATATTCAGGTTCTGGTAACTGTCCAAAATACTGGGTGTCCTCTAGAGGGTACTAAGAAGAATGACGACCGCACTGCAAGCTGACGAGCCGAAATTTGATGTCTCTGTGGGGTGGAATGCTGGGTCGAAGAGCTGGTCGTGGTGAGCTTTATCTTTAGTGGGCAGCCTCTGTGCAGCATGTGCCGGTAGCCCTCACAAAGCATCCGCTGCGGTTTTCTGCGTAGCTGCAGCCTCCAGCGCACCAGCAGAAAGCAGCTGGGTAGTTGCGTTTAAACCCGGCACTTTAGCTGTGGCCGCTTGCCTGGCCGCTTGCAGTCCATGGGTGTTTGCCCGAGGTTTAGGATTGGTTGCCTTCCCTTACAGCCACAGCTGGGCCCTGGTCGATCAGGGCTTGATCAGTGTGTGTCGTGCACGCGGCACGTCATCTTGGCCAAGGCATTGTGAAGCTGTCCCTGGGGCGTGCAGCTTCCCATGTGGTGCCAAGATAGTGATCGTGAAGAAGTGCCAAGGCATGTCGTCCTGGAAGTGGGACCTCCGTGCCTGCCGACGGTGCAGAGGGGCGAGTGTGCGTCATAGCATGGGGCTTCCTGACAGGCACTGAAGCGTGTCAGCCTATCTCTCAGCCCTCTCTATTCTTGGTGTGAGACACGAGCTACCATAGCTGCTTGCCCTTACAGCTGCAGCTGGGATTTGCTGGATCAGGCTTGAGCAGTGTGCGCCTCACTCTTGCTCGCGCCAGGGTCCCAGACTGGCTTGACGGTGCCTCGGAGCGTGTGTCCTCGGGTGTGTCCTCGGCAGCGTCCGTGCGCCAAAGACGGGCCGTGGTGAGCTTTCTCGCCTTCTGTGTAGCATGTGCCAGCAGCCCTCTCAAAGCGTCTGCTGCAGAAATTTGTCGTGGCAGCCTCCAGCTCACCAGCAGCAGCTGGGCTGGCTGGGCTTGTTTGAGATTAATGCACCCAATGCCTCCAATGCCTCGGAGCCGCTGGGATCTGGTCGATCAGGGCCTAGCCCTCGCTGCGAACGACGGAGGACTTCGCCGCTGACAGGGCCGTGCACGCGCCTCGCCGAGACCGGAGCAAAAAGGGGATTGCCTTTATCGGCAAGCTCGCGAGTCCGCACGCATTCTGAGCACATAGCTGCGCTCAGAAGAATCAGGAGAGCTCCTCAGCTCCTCTCTCTCTCCCCAGCTCGCCTTGTGTAAGTCAAACGTCTGAGGGCAGAACGTATGGTTCTCTTGTCCTGGGTCCATTCCCTGGTTTGCAGATGATTTCCAAAGAGCGCGAGGCGCTCTTCGAGTTGAGGTGAGTTGGGAGGACCTGGGGGTCTTGCACGCGGCTCTGAGCTGCTGAGCTCCTTGAGACTCCGAGATTCCACGTCAACATGTTGCTCAACCTCTCTTGCGCCCAAGGGCCCAAGGGCTTCAGTCCCCGGAATCTCGCCAACGTACGCAGGTAAAGGCTTAAGGCCACTTTGTGCCTCCCCTTCCAACTCTGTTCAAACATGTGGCCGCCGTGGCTCAAAGATCCCCAAAAGTCCCAAGGCTTGACCTGTTCGAAGCTCACGTGAGGTGTCACCTCAGGTGTCACACGTCAGGTCACCTGAGGTAGAAGGACGGAGCATGAAGGAGGCATGAGAAGGAGCGAAGAGCCCTCTAAGAGACAGATCCGCCACGCATGTCGCAAGCCGCGCTTGAGCCGCGCTGGAGCCCCGGTACTCCGCTGGGGTCAGCCTTCGAATCGGTTGCTCGGGTGCGGTGACGCCGCACCCAGGCACAGGCTGGAGAAGAGGGGCACATCCTCTACACGAATCGTTGCACGCATCGCACATCCGGGCGACATGGGACCGCTGAGAATCTTTGCGGTGCTCGCTGTTTGTGACCTCGAAGGTGTTCGGGTCGTCTTTGGGGAGTCCCCTTTAGAGGTTTAGCAGCGCCTTCGGTGACCCTTGTTAAAGAGCACTCTGGTCTTCTCAAGCATTCAGCACAGATTCGCTCATCTGCTTGTGTGTTCCGTGTGCGCATGTCCTCCTTTTGCACTCTTTCGCCGTGCCATTGCTTCCGGCGTTCAGCCGCAGAGGAATCCACGCGCATTGACACCTCTTGCCGTTTCACCCACTGTAGACCCACACGAACAGTAGCCCCCAAAGAGCTCAGAGCTCCAAAAGGAACATGTCTTTGGGTTGAGAGGTTGAGCCTTCGGGAGCTGGGGCTGTGCAGCCTGGGCCGTGTAGTTCGTGAAGTTGACTTTACCTTCGGCTTGCCTTTGAAAAAGGCATACCTTCTAGGGAGCGGACCTTCCATCTCCTTGCCAAGTGCACCCGCCAAAGCAGCCGTCCCAGCCACTAGCCCGCCCAAGGCTGCCCAAACGGCAGAACAAACGAGCTGCCGGAGGCTTCCGGGGCCCGTGGCTCGCTCTTTCTTTTCCTCCTCCCTTCGGCTGTGAGCAGCCAGCTTTTAGGCTTCAGGGCTGGACGAAGCCTGCTGCACGCCGTTTTGGTAGAGCTCTCTCACTTGTCTTGAAAGGGTGTCCATGGCAGCTGCCATTGATCTCAGGTCCGCCCGGTTTGGATGCGGTGGAGGAGAGCGCTACCCTGCGCTCTCCCTCGTGCCTCTCGTGAACACCACTTACCTCACCTCGTGCACCTCAGCAGCTAAAGCATTGACAGTGCCTCGGCTCCACTCAAACCTGTTGGGGAACAGCTGAGCGGAGCCCTTCGAGCACTTTCCACGCGACTCTCCGAGCGACCCTCCGAGCGACCCTCCGAGTGACTCGGATCCCCTCCGACGTGCTTCAGGACGCAAGCCTCCTCTCTTCCCCGCTTGTTTAGGGTTTAGGGTTTAGGGTTTAGGGTTTAGGGTTTAGGGTTTAGGGTTGAGGGTTTAGGGTTTAGGGTTTAGGGTTTAGGGTTTATAGGGTTTATAGGGTTTATAGGGTTTTTAGGGTTTATAGGGTTTATAGGGTTTAGGGTTTATAGGGTTTAGGGTTTATAGGGTTTAGGGTTTATAGGGTTTAGGGTTTATAGGCGCAGCTTAGGGGTTTTTAGGGGTTAGGGTTTATAGGGTTCGGGTTTATAGGGTAGGTTTATAGGTTTTGGGTTTAAGGGTTAGGGTTTTTTTAGGGTTTAGGTTTTTAGGGTTTGAGGGTTTTTAGGGGTTTAGGTTTTTTTTTTAGGGTTTAGGGTGATTTAGGGTTAGGGTGTTTAGGGTTAGGGGGGTTAGGGTTAGGGTTGTAGGGTGTAGGGTGTTTTAGGGGTTTAGGGTTGTTTAGGGTTTAGTGGTTAGGTTTTAGGTGGTTTAGGGTTTAGGGTTTGGGTTTTAGGGTTTAGGGTTAGGGTTAGGTTTAGGGTTTTCCTAGGGTTTAGGTTTCGGGTTTAGGTTTAGGGTTTAGGTTTCGGTCTAGGGTAGAGGGTTTAGGGGTTAGGGTTTAGGGTTAGGGTTTTAGGGTGTAGGGGTTAGGGTTAGGGGTTTAGGTTTAGGGGTTAGGGTTTAGGGTTTAGGTTTTAGGGTTTAGGGGTTAGGGTTTAGGTTTAGGGGTTAGGTTAGGTTTTAGGGTTTCGGTGTTAGGTGGTTGTTAGGTTTAGGGTTTAGGTAGGGTTTAGGGTTAGGGTTTAGGGGGTTTAGGGTTTAGGGTTTGGGTTTAGGGTTTAGGGTTTAGGGTTAGGGTTTTAGGGTTAGGGTTTGGGTTTAGGGTTTAGGTTTTTTTAGGTTTAGGTTTAGGGTTTTAGGTTTAGGGTTTAGGGTTTAGGGTTTAGGGTTTAGGGTTTAGGGTTTAGGGTTTAGGGTTTAGGGTTTAGGGTTTAGGGTTTAGGGTTTAGGGCTTGTCGATTTAACATGCGTAGTGTATGGAAAGAGAGACGGACGTCCGAAACCTTCAGCGCAAAAGAGTTCCGTCATGTACATGGAGCTCTACTTGCTCCCACCCCAGGATGCCACCCAAAGCATCTGTAGGACGCTTAAGTTCTTAAGCGTCGCTAATATTGATAATAGTGTCTGGTAAAGAGATTACAGAAAATGTGAGAAACAAAAGACCATGCACTTACACAGTAAATGGCTGTAATTATGTTCCATAATTACCATTTACTTCTAGGTAAGACTAGAAAGTCGGCTTGCTAAGGCCTTTGGGTGGCTTAGGGGGGCCTTACCCCCTCCTGTGGGGTACTCCACACAGAAAAACGCCTTGTTTTGGAGTAATTTTTGGCTCCAAGCACGATTTAGAAAGGCCAGACAAAGAAAAACGCACTTAAAGAGACCACACACAAAGAAACGCATTGTTTTGGAGTAATTTTTGGCCCCAAGCACGATTTAGCAAGGCCAGACAAAGAAAAACATGCTGTTCCCGAGTAATTTTTGGCTCCAGGCATTTGGCTGGCCACGAGCACTCGAGGGTCCATTTTTTGATCCGGGTTTGACTGGGCTTCATTTTTGGCTTCAACCACGATTTAGCAAGGCCAGACAAAGAAAAACGCGCTGTTCCCGAGTAATTTTTGGCTCCAAGGCCTTTGGCTGGCCACGAGCACTCGAGGGTCCATTTTTTGATCCGGGTTTGACTGGGGCTTAGGGTGGCTTACCCTCTCCTGGGCTACCCCCACAAGAAGGCCAGAATTTTAGAAAATGAGGGTGTAATTTCCGCTATATAAAATCTATTTAAAATTAATTGGGAATCGAGTCATTTTTCCCGAATCCTGGGGTACCCCCCACGGAGCCTCCCTGGGACCTTCAAAAAAACTTTCAGCCTCCTTCAGACCTTCGAAAGAGCTTCAGAGAGGCCACGCAAAGAGAAACGCACTGTTTTGGAGTAATTTTTGGCTTCATTTTTGGCTT